TTTTGTTTGTTTTTGTTGTTGTTTTGGCATGCGTGCGCGCATTCCCCCTCCCTTGATTTGTTGCTTTGGGATTATTTATTCCTTGTTTTTTCCTGGGTGTGGTTAACTTGTTCAGGTTACAGTTCTAATTTGAGCACCATTGTAGGGCAGGAGTTTTAGACTGATATTGCTTAAATTTGATTTTATAGTGGAATGTCTTATTTTCTCTATCTAACATGATTCAAAATTTTGCTGGGTATACTAGTCTGGGATGGTATTTTTGGTCTCTTGGAGTCTGTAGAATATCTGTCCAATTCCTTTTGCTGTTAGAGTATCCATTGAGAAGTCAGGTGTTACTCTAATGGTTTTGCTCTTATATGTTATTTGGTCATTTTCCTTTGGAGCTGTTAAGAATCTTACTTTGTTCTATACTTTTAGTGTTTTGACTATTATGTGCTGAGGAGATTTTCTTTTGTGGTCCAGTTTATTTGGTGTTTTGTATGCATCTTATACCTTGATGGGCATCTATTTTCAAGGCATCTATTTCTTCTCTGAGTGTCTTGAAAATATTTCTGTACTTTTGACCTGGGATTCTTTTCCTCCTCCATTCATTCTCATTATTCTTAGATTGGTCTTTTCATACTGTCCCAGATTTCAATGATGTTTTGTGCCAGGAGTGTTTTAGAGTCAACATTCCTTTGACCTAGGCATCCATTCTTCTATCATGTCTTCAATGGCCAAGATTCTCTCTTTCAAATCTTGTATTCTCTTGGTGAGGCTTGCCTCTAGATAAGGTTTCAGTGCCTAAATTTTTGATTTCCAGGTTTTATTTTGTTCCATTTTTTTTTATTGATTCTATTTCGACTTTCATGTCTTGAATGTTTTAATCATTTTCTTCCACTGTTTGTTTGGTTTTGTAGATTTCTTTAAGGCCTTCGTTCATTTCTCCTTTAGGGACCTTTATCATGTTCATCAGGACTGTGAATGTTTTATGAATGTTAAGTGTTTTCACTTGTGCTTCAGCTATGTTGCCCGATTCAGGGCCTGCTGTGGGGGGCAGGCTCTGCTGTATTGGGGATATCTTGTCCTGGCTGTTACTGGTTGTGTTTTTACATTGGAGTCCAGGCATCACAGTTAGGGAAGATTGTAATTTAGGTGTTGATATCTGGTATTATATTTGTTGTGTGGGTGTGTTGTCCTTGGTTTCTCTTAACAGAGTGGTTTTTATGTTTTCCCTGGTATAACATGCTTTGGGATCTTGTTAAGTGTAGCCACTGTGGGTTCCAGGTAGAAAGTGTTTCTAAGTGTTGTAATTTGGCACCCCTGCCAACCTGTGGTGGCTGTGGCAGCTGAGGTGGCAGCAGTGGCAGCAGCTTGAGCAGTCACCCTCACTGTCAGGGGTGGCACATTTCCACTCTCATGTTGCTATGGGTTGTGTAGAGTTGCATAGCGAAACATGCCCTCTTAAAGTCCCTGGCCACTCCAGAGCATTCTCTCCATCTCGTTCCTTCTCTCTGCCTCCTGGTCTGTCTGTCTGTCTCTATCCTGTCCCAATTCTGACATAGCACTTTGCTCTGCCCCATCCCTCCTGCTTTAGTTCTGTTTTGAGGTGTGATTTCTTAGGGACTCACCTGGGCCTGCCCAACAAAGGTACCCTTTCCCGTAGCTTTATCATTACACGAAGTATTGAGAGTTGAAACTTAAGAATGGAGATGAACTTCATTATGGATGAAGGGAGGTGCCTGAGGGCATCCACAGGAGGGAGCAAAGCAGTGTGCTCCACTAGGATCTGCTCAGTTTCTTCAGAAATTGTGGGGATAGTGAGGACAGGATAAAGCAGAAATTCTGCTGCCGAGCTGGGCATGAGAATTGGGGATGGACTTGCAGGAATGGAGGCAGAGGTGAAGATCTGCACTTAGCCGGGCTTCGCTGGGCAAAATAGGCGGCAGGGAATGAATGCTGTTTGTGTGGGGCCTGGGATAAAGTAAGGAGAGGGTCGAAAGAACTTTGAAGGGGCATATCTGTGTGGTCCGCTGGAGAAGAGGAAGGGGAAGCCCACAGAAGGTGGTTTGCAGCAGGTCTGGGCATGAGAAGTGGAGATTTGATATGGGTGGGTGGATGGAGAGGTGTTGCTCGGCAATTAGCCAGCCTGCTTCCTTTGCTGAATTGGCCGTGTGATTAGAATGTGCAGAGCAAACTGAAGGTAGTATCATTTTGGAAATGGCAGGTGGGGAGTACTGAATGGCTTTGGATTCTCAGAAGACCACTTCCCTCAAGTGTGCTGGTAGTACGGGTTTGCACCAGAACTTCCCTAAAGTGCTTTATTAATTAAGGCAGAGGAGGCAGAGTGTGAACAGTTCATCATTCATAGACCTTATTACTTATAAACTGTCTGGTGAGGCTCGTGGATCGTCATAGGCTCCTGGGCATGCTGCCTCTTTAGGCTTTGTGGTAGAGGAGAGCAATGTCAAGTCCAGGCTTGGATGGGTGTGTGTTCTGAGGGCAGCAGGCTACTTTGTGAGGACACCTAGACACTTGAGAAGCATGGAATGGTGAGTGTGTCTTGGATTCCTGGATGCCTGGGTGGCGGCACTGGGACATTAGTTGCTTTGGAGATAAACAGCGCCCACCGGAAGGTTCCCCTGGGACTATAGGGCCCAGTGGCAGGTGAAATCTGGAACAGCCAGTGCACTCCCAGGTGCACCTGAAGTGTGCGCCCAGCAGGCGCCTTTATCCCCAATCCCCCAGTCTTCTGTCCTGGTGAACCTGGTTCACCGAGATCCCAGCCCTCTTGGGTGAGTCCTTGCCATGAACCCGCACCTACACAGATCTTGCAGCACTGGCGGGTTGGTGATGCTGCGTCCACACTGTGCTGGGTGCGGATGTGGGTGGTCTGTGCAGTTTCCCTTCTCGGCTTGTGCTTGTGTTTGTGCTGATTCAGATTGTTCCCTCTCATCACCTTTGATTTCCTTCCTGTCTTCC